ATCAAAAGAAAATCAAGTTAGAAGCATCAAAAACCTATTAAATGTTTATTTCCCTCAGCTGCTCAAATCATCCTGACAGCTCTTTTAGGCTGTGAAAACAACATAAAATGACAAGGATACAATTAAAGCCTTGGCTATAAAACATATGTGTCAGTATCACAATGTAGAAGCTCTTAAAAGTTTGGTCTCTCAAGTGTCTAACAAAAGACAAACAGAAACATTGACAACTATGAACAACAAATGACTTACCTAAATGAAGTCAGTGGAGGGGTCGCCAACAGGAAGTATGAAAAAAAGCATAGAAAAAAAGAGAAATGAAGAAAACATTACAAAGAAACACCCTTACACATACATTTTGAACTATTAAAACATTGGGCCCTTCAAACATTATACATTATTCTTGCATGGGATTACTGTAATTACATACATCTTGAGAATTCACATCCATATCTATCTTCCAAATTTGCGTGGTGTGCCATGAGGAAATGTAGTTTATTATCATATTTTTTCCCTGAAGTGTTTAAGCCTAATTGAAAACCAGAGGGTCGACCAATCAAACTGCATGTCTCACTCCCCTCTCCTCTCCCAGAGGACCCTTTAGGAAGACAACATCCTCTAACTAGGCTCACTTACTACATTCTTAGTTTCATGCCAACGGCAGCAAAATGCTTGGGAATAGAATATAATTACTTCTTATCATGCTGAGACAGGTGACATTTGTAACAGCTTTGATTTTTATAAAATAATTAAGAGTGAAAGTTAAAAAAAATACATTCCCCCTGGAAGCTACATGAACAGAGGCAAACAAAGCAGTGCTAAATAATGCAAGAAATTAAAGGACATCATCTTTCTGAAATGAGAAATCTGTCAAACAAATAAGAAAAGCTTCAATGTCAGATGAACTATTCTGGCCACTACCACTATGCTTCCCCACTAGTTCAACAATTATTAAATCACACCAACTGAGCTATTTATAAAGAGCACAATTTATTAAAATCACAAGCAATTTACACAAACAGGGATTCCAGCATCTGTTTTTGATCGAATTAATCCATCACAAGTCCTGAATATTGGTATAAAGCTCATCATTTCCTCAGTGATTGCTCCAGAAATGACATTTAGGTGTATTTCTTTATCACACGCTATACTTTGAAGACACCATCAGGAGGAGTTTGTAGTTATTTCTCAGATAAGAAAAGCTATGGCTTGTTATTGACTCAATCATTATCATGAGAGGAAAGCAAAAGCCGTAATAATAATTCAGAGTTTGTATGTGTGTGTCCTAGACAGTACAAAAAGACGGACAAGACATTTACCTGAAAGTTAAACCAAAATCATTTCTGACTGGCTGCAGACATTATTTTGGCCCACCTTTTTGTTATACTGTTTTTTATATTTTAAGAAAGTGAAGCCTCAGTGTTGGTAATAAAGGTCAATACATATCTGTGTGTGAGAAGAAGAGTCAGTAAACACATGGAGACACGGAGAGGTACTACATGTACAGTCACACGTCATGATGACTCTTACATGGAATTGAAAAACTACCCTGAAACACCCCCTCTCTTCTTTTCCTATACCACCCCTCTCTTACTGCCCTTGGCAGGAGAAACTCACTTTGGCCGCGGTTGGATGGATTGTGTAGAGAGATGGATGAATGGAAAGAGAGAGTGATGGAAGGATAAGCAGAGGGCTGGCCTCTTACTCCCAATGCTGTGTCAGCTCTGCCACCAACTCATCAGAACCGCTCACACACTGCTGACACCCCAAACAACAACATATCCCCCTATGTCCTTACATCCATCTATGACAGCCGTCTGTTTAGCTTCTCGTCTATCTGTCTATACATTCAATTATGTGTAAAATTGCATTATTTGAAAGGAGACTGACATGAAATAGAAGAAAGAATCTGTTGGGAAAGGAGTGAGAAGATAGCAGAAGATGGTGAGAAAGGAGGAGTAAATCTTCACCATCTGACAGTGACATTTAGGAGAGTCGATGGAAAGGAGTCAGCATCAGAGACCACACACACACACACGCGCACACATAACCCATGCACACATACATTATGGATCTGCCCGTCTCCCCCTCGAGATGGATTATCATTCTGAGAACTAAAGGAAATGGGAGGTAGACAAGGGGGGGCAGTCACAGAGCGACAGATGGATGTATATACATGCACCAAGAGAATGAAGGAAGTCTGTGCTTCAAACTGCGAATGAGAACACACACACACACACACACACACACACACACTCCAAAAGAGAACTTTAAGTGCTGTATAAAGTGCTTCAAAAACAAGAGGATTGTGAAATAAGTTTCCAATAATAGAAAACAACAGCGCTCTCTATCATTATCTTCTAAAATCCTCGATTATCATCCTCATTTGGATTTTCTGCAAACCTGTCCGTGCTTTAAACAATGATTGCTTGACATTAAAAATGATTTCTACATATTTAATTGTGTGAATGTGAAAAGGGGAGTTAAATCATTTTAACAAAAGCTGAAATACAAAAACAAAAAGGCACAGCTGTCACCTCCTTAATTCTTTCCGAAAGCAACCTCCCAATAAAACCCTTTCATTAAAGTTGAGATACTCGCCACATACACTCAGCAGTTCCTAATATCATTTACATCTACATGTTGCTTTTAATTAGCTGCACGAGTGCAACAAGACAGCTGTGGTAGCTCCCTCATTATGCACTTCATTAGAAAATAACAATGTTGACTTGCAAAATAAGAGGTGGGGGATTTGCCTACAAGCAGAGTGTATTGTTTGTGCTAAACTTTCTCCTCCTGAATTTTCACTTTTTTGCAAAAATTATACATAGAAATCGGGCAAACATGCTGCTGGAAGCATAAGGGTTTTGGACCACTCCATCAGGATTTAAACCAGCCTATCTTAGGTAAATGCAGACATACAGCCCTCCTAAAGTAGTCAGCCAGATGGAAACATATTTTAGAAGCAGCAGCTCAAAGCCTCCCATCAGAAATAAGGACGCATTCAGGTTAGGATATCAACAGCATAACACATGGCCTAGTCGTTAGTTTAACCCCAAACTGGGGTTAGAATCTGAAGAGTGGCTCCCTGTGTGATTCCCCAATCTTTCCTCCCGATTTCTAACTCTATCCACTGTCCTGTCTCTCTATTAAAGGCATGATAAGCTAAAAAATAGATGTTTATAAAAATGGCAACATCTAGAATGATTCTATATGCCTTACATGTAACCACAGACACACAACTGTGTGTGGAAAAACACGAGCATGCATGAGAGAGAGAGCAAAATGTACACAGAACCTTCAATGTGTTTCATCTTACTTTCTCTCGCTCACAGAAACACAAAAATACATACACACCCCTGGGCAACAGCAGACATGCATATGTGTCTGTAACCCTTTAAAAAAAAGCAAGCCTGCACTCACACGCAACAGTACAAGAGCCCTTTTAGCAGTCAGTACAAACTGGGCTGGGAGTCTCTTACTTTCCATTTGACCTTTTGTCATGTTGCTGGTGACATTTTAAATATGCTCTGGCTCATCTTTGTCAGCAGCATTGTCTGCTGGGGGCAAACAACACAGAGGTGCAGAGGGACTTACAAATACAGAGAGAGAGAGAGCAGGAGAAGACATAGATACAGTGAGACTAAAATAAGAGGAGTAAAGCAGAAGCATATGAGAGGAAGTGGCCTCTGTCAAGTTCAAGCCCACATAAAAGGAGATGGAGAGGTTGAGAGACAAAACACTTAAGATGGGGATACAGAAACAGAAATAGAAATGGAAAGACAGGAGGGAAATGATGAATCACAGGAAAAGAGCAAAATGGCAAAAGGTAGTGAAAATGTGAAAAAAAAAATGAAAAAACAGAAGGAAAGAGGATGGATGGACTGATAACATGAATTCACCAAGTGCGGAAACTCAAAAAAAGGCCAAGGGTGCGAAGAGAAAGAAGTAGGTTGAGTGAGTGCAAGAAAAAAATAGTATAAGTGGGTGAAAAGGAAAGCGAGCGAGGATGTGATGCGCTCCAGTGGAAATTATAGCCGGCTGTGTTGGAAATGTCAAAGATATGCGATGGCCCATTTTGAGGCAGTGATAATACGTTACGCGCTATTCATCTCTAGCCAGAAGGTCTAGTAGGATCAATAGAGTCTTGGTATTAACAGGGTCTCCTCTCCTGCATTAGTAAGACAAACTAGCCCCAGCAGCGCTCACTGGCATCAAACATATTTCCTCTCTGTTCTTTTCTCGCACGCCAGGAAGACCAGCATGTTGTGGCAGGGCAGTGTGGGTGATGTCCTTTAAACTAAAGCTGAGATCAAGTCTTCACTCAGTGGATTCTGTTATGTTACTGATCTTAGATTCCGTAAGGAGTTGTAATAAAAAATAAATAATACGATCACATTTCTCTGTGTTGAGAAAAAAAACATGGCACCAAAGTTCAGTGGATTTGTACTAGTAAACATTTTCATTAACTAACTGTTATTTAAAGGTCAAAGCAGTGTTTTTTCCAATCTTACACGTTTGTGTATCCTCTCTCGGCCACCTCATCTGAAGAAGGTAGAAGCAGGTGTTGAGAGGAAGAATGGGAATTATAAAAGGTCAGAGCAGAGTTCCTTTCTCTGTCGGTGTCTGTTATGACACTGTGTCACCCCCCCCTTCAGGCAGACTGACATTTTAATTAAATGTTCACAAAGACTATTAACACATAACACACGAGGCATGCTGAGAATGAAAGTGTGATTCTTCACGTGTGTCCACGTGTCTTGTGTTCTGGCAGGTCACATTTAATTATGTTTCTCTGGAACAACTTCTCACGACCTTTCAGAGAAGTTTATTCTGCAAACTTTAAGTGTAACAATTTCATCAGCACCTATGAAACAACATGTCTGATAACCACATCTAAGTTGAGCTTTTCAATTTACACCAGCCATCTTGAACAATCAAGTTTCTTTTCTATTTATGAGCCTCTCATTTCACTTTGAGTATAGAAGGTGAAAATGACTCACTTGTTTCAATTACGCTGGAGAAGATGTGTTTTCCTGCTCTCAGAGTGAGAAAACTCAAAGTAACTGTGAATCCTTTCTCCAGCTCATGAGCAGACACAGGACTAGCTGGAGTTTTTCCTCTGTGCTGAGACATGTAGTCCCTCTGGAATCCCTTCAGTCTACTCCTGGGTCTCCTCCCAGTCAGCCTCAGAAGTAGTGTTTGCAAGACATCTTCATCTGATGACCTTTTTTTTGGACTACTAAAGAAAATGACCCACTGGGAGTCTTTGGCTTGCTGCTGTTGTCTGTGTGATTGCTGCAGGTCTTGTGTCCCTGGCTGGAGATTCATCAGCAGGATCAGCTGCACCTGGGCCTGGTGCACTCCGTCTACAGAGATCTGCTGGTTCCCTGTATTGGCTCTCTGGCTATCTGACACTCTGATTCACTGGCCCTTGGTTTTCTGATTTTGACTCTTGGTCTGGTTGTTTGGTTTGGAGAATCCATCACCTGACAAAGACTCTTAATTTTTTGTTCTCTTTTGCATTCGCACACTTCTGATGATACATCATATGAGCCGGGTTGTGACAAATAGTCAAATTACTTCCTTCTTTTATTGGCTGAAGTGTTTGAAAATTAATGTCTATTGTTTCTGTCGGTGCATAAGGTTTTATATATTAATACTTTACACAAGATCTCTCTCAGACTTTAGTCATATCATTATCAAAGCTCGTCCTGGTCTATGAATCAAAGTGGCGGCTTATGTCTCCTGTGTCTATCTTTAAAACTGAAATCCGTGAGATGAAATGTCAAACTGTAATCCAAGAGATAGAGGACGTTTCTTTAAACTTTTTCACACTAATCTATGCACAGTCATGATCCAACCAAAAGTCAATTGGGCACAAAGATCAATCTGTGATATTCATGCAGTAAAGGGGGATTCATTATCAACGGCATAGAGGCTAACTTAGTGAAGCTAAGCGTAATTTTCCCTCAAAGTATCGCAGCCAGAGATTCTCTTCTCACAGCATGAAAGGCGACACACAAACAAACACTTGTCGACTAGTGTGCATGTGTACGTTGTTTGACTAGCTTGAATGTATGCACGTTGACAAACACAGGAACTATGGAAGAGAAAATGAGCCCAGGCAGTCCAGAGGGGGGATCCAGTAATGATAGAGGGAGAAGGGGGGACAGAAGTTTGGAGTGTGTGAAGCAGAGATAGTTTGTTTCCAATTCTCAGACAGAAAAGTCCACATGGGGGAGAGAAACAAATCACTTCTGTTTGAATGAGAGCAAAATGAGCACATGTGGAAGTCTGATATTAAGATAGTGAAATTGAAAGAAATCCCAGCATGTGTGTGTGTGAGAGAGATTGAAGCGTACAGCACACACTTTGGAGTATGAGTTGCTGATCTTGGTTGTACGATTTGATCAAAAGACACTCTGATCATATGGAGAGTCGGTCAAGTACTCTCCATATGATGAGGTCAAAGAAACACAGAATGAGGACAGTAGAAGCTGGAGGTGAAATGTTCCACTGTTAATGGGTTTGATTCATAGGTTTATATCTAAACACACAATACACACACACACACACACACACACACACACACACACACACACACACACACACACACACACACACACACACTCAAGCAATGGGACAATAAAAGAGCAATAACACGGGGGCTTCATGTAATTACAGCTGAATTTATTCTCAGCTCCTTCCTTTAGTGGAGAAAATCAATAAGTGCAAATGGAGGTTCAGATTGCTGCAGTTAAATGTTACATGAAGGTTATGACCTCTCTGGGTTAGTTTGTCTCTTGCTTTCTAATTCATTCTACCTTTTTGTTGCCTCAGGTTTGAAATTTAAGTGTGGCCCCATGAATGTCAAACGAACCCCTAGTGCCAGATTCATCTCTATTTACAGATTCTGTATAAAAATAACGATTCTGTAAAGTACAGCACCAGATTTAGTATTGGATATGTTCTTGTTCCTGTTTGAGGTACCAGGTGTATTGTCTTCGAGCATCTTAGCAAACATTGGCCGCATGCAGGAAAACAGTCTATGGGAAAAGTAACAGGGGATAAAAAGGAATCCCAGAGCCCAGTGGCAGGCTTCTATGATTTAAGCTCAATTAATATCTTTAAAGAGATCGAATAAAAATCTCTCAGTTCTTGTTTCTATTCACCAAATCCATTTTTACTTGTTACACTGCTAGTTGGAGTTGAAACAAAGACAACACATAGAAATGGGAGTCATGGCTTGAAGTCCTTTACCGCTAACGACTGGCTACATCGATGTCTGTCGCTTCCAGAGGCTAAAAACGTACCACAGACAATTGGTTTGAAGACTGTTTCGGGATTCATGACTTTAACTTTCTCTCTACTTTGCTCGCATTTAGTCTCACTCTGCCTGCCCTACTCCTTGGTCAATCATATACTGGTGAAGCAATATTTTGTACTCTGCTAGCAGTATGCTACTATAGCAGAGATTTATTGATACCTGAGTTACAGTTACTGCAGAAAGAGAAGATGAGGAATGCCAGAAGTTCCACTCAAATGTTGTTGTTTTTTGGGTTTTTTTTTTTTGGGGGGGGGGAGTAGTTATCGCTGGTCTCTCTCTCTCTCTCTGCTCTCCTATTTCTCCAATAAAGGCACAAAAAGAAAAAAGACATTTGGGTTGACAGCAGCAGAAAAGGTGTAAAAATCCAGTTAAGACACTTAAACTGTATAGATGAAAAAACCAACATCATAATTCTTAATTAATAATCAACTATAATTTGCGCAGAAATTATTTCTCCTTTGCTGCCTTTCCTCAAGAGCACTTATTACGTCGTATTTCTCGTTTGCCAGAGTGTTTGTCTGGTCCCGTTTTACATCTCACACTTTATGTTTCTGCTCTGTAGAAACACTGAACTCTTTTAACCATCACTTCCCGCTCACAGCAGCACTTACACACAAGTGACTCACACGAGTGAGTGAGTCCTTCAACCGCTTCCCGAACAATCTTACCACTTTTAGCTCTGAAAGTAATGAAATGTTATTGTAGCCTCCTGTTACAAAAAGGGAACTGTGATCCATCACTGGCTGGATGCTTGCACCCACGACAAAACGAGAGTTTAATTTTTCTTTGGAAAAGGGCGATGAGTTGGGAGAACCGTCTCACTCTGTATGTGAGGGAGAGCTGCATCTGGTTCTGTATACTTAGACATTTAGTCTTAGACCATAAAAAATACCTTTTTCCAGCTGCTGTCTTTTAATTGCCTATGCAATTTGTGTATAACCTTCCTCCTGCAGAGAAAACAAGACAAATCATTTTCATAGGGAAATGCAATGCCCTCTTGCTTTTTCCCAGCCACTGATGCCTGTAGTCAGCGTGGAGCCACAGTATCTTAGACCTCCTGTTCGCTTACAGATTCAGCTGACAGCAGATAGCAAAGAGCAGCCCAAGTTAAGGGAGAGAGAAGTGTGAATGTGCGATGCTGGTGGTTCAAAATGTTTTTTTATGCTGTGTGGAAGAGTCAGCACCAGAGGACTAGCACAGCGGCTTTCATCTGGAAAAGAGGGAGCAGCGGCGCGAGCACGGCAGGCCAAGGGATTCAAGCAGAAACATCCCCCACATGCACACACACACAAACGTAAACACAAAAAAAAAAACACCATAAGCATGTACAGTCCCTCACATTCTTTAAGGAAACATTATTCACAAAGGCATGCACTCTTCATTCAGTCAGCAATGATGAATATTCTATGAGGAGATAAAAGGGGCTTTACTCTGTTACCTCCACCTCTGTTATGTAATTCCCTGACATCAAACTGGGCTAATGAACACCACGTTCTGACACCAGCTTTACCAACGTGCCTGTACGTACAGAATGTCTGAATGTACTTGGATCTCTCCTCACTTGGACATATCTGCATGTAAGACTTTAGATTAAGTGCATTCTGGAGTGCCCAAACAAGGACATATTCATTGCCTGCAGTACATTTAGTGCTAACAGGAAAATCAGCCTATCCTGAGTGGGCTTTGGGAAAAAAGGTTCTCAAAGCAAGTTAAATGGTTTGTCTAAAGAAACGTGGTTCAAGGATGACAGGGCATTGAAGGATCTGTTGAGGCTCGGTGATTCACGCATGTGACTAACGTTTAGATTCTTCACACCCTGCATCAAAGCTCTTTGATCCATCCTTTCCTTTATAATCTTATAACCCTGCCCCTTCTTGGCAGAGTAACTGTGTTCATGCATGCTCAATGTGTGTGTGTGTGTGTGTGTTTGCACACTACCACCTGCATGTGCGGTACACTCTTACACTCCACTTACTGACACTTGTACAATCTAATGTGATCTAACAACTTGGATATTCATTAGCCTTTACAAATTTGATATTATTCAGTTGGATTGTCTGTCAGAGGTGATTCATTTGATGAGGTCAAATTTAATAACTTCATTATAGACGTTGTTGTTGTTGGCAATGCTGTTGATCACACTGTATTGATAGATGGTGTCAACATTTTTGACAGGTTTATTTCTTACTTTCATGTACTTGATAGGGGCTTTATAGTTCGATCAAATGTTTCAATAAAACACAACATAATTCTATTCCCCCTCCAATTGATCTTTCATTGTGTGCTTAACAGAGGTATTAGTTATTAATTGAGACTTGTTCATATCCACCTCCTATCAATACAAGTGAAGAGGCTGATCTCTTCATATAATGTTTCAGTCAACAGAACTCCTTTGTTTAAGCTCCCAACACACCTGGGCTCTGGAGCTCACGGTGCTGTAAATGTTAAAACATTGACACAGTTTAATGCTGTAAGTAAAGGGCAGATAATTTGAGTTTTTCATGAATGGAAAATGGAAAAGTATTTGTCATGAACCCTTTAAGCAACAAAATCACATTATGTATGATGCTAAAGGAATGAGAAAACGGCAGCTGTGGCACGTCAAGGGTTCGATCCCCAGCTCCTGCAGCAACATGCCCGATGTGTCCTTGTGCAAGACACTGAACACCGAATTGCTCCCGCTGCTTCGTCAGCAGCGTATGAAGTCATATGAATGGGATTAGTTACTTCTGATGGTCACTTACATAGCAGCCTCTGCCATCAATGTGTGAATGGTTAGGTGTGATGTGAGGTGTGACACTATACAAGCTCATGTCCATTAACCATTTACAACTTCTAAGATTAACCTCAAAAGGTGAAATAGAAGTTTCAGTCTGTTTTTAAAACTTAAAACTTTTTATCTCCACACACAATTTTAACCTCTCTCTCTGAGAAGCAGCAAAAACTACATGTTGCAAAAAAGTTTCTGTCTTGCAGGAGATAACGTAACTCATAGACATGTTAGCAGTTTGCCTTTTCCCCTGCTTGCCAAAAGTCAAACCCGAGAATAGAAACAGAAGCAGGTGTCTGTGAGATAAACATGCAGTG